AGTGCACCCTTTATATACACCCAAATTTCATTGCCTCACAGAAAAACTGCACTAAATGGTGAAGGATGAACCAAAGTCTACACATATGGGGCCCAATTTTCCAAAAAATGATCCAATGTCCATTTATGGGCCAAAATGTTCAAGGTCAGCCTACAGCAATCTACACAGTCTATGCCAGCAAAGGCTGCCTTCTCTCACTGCACTGCACACAAGCAGCAATGTTCTGTTCTAATGATGTAGCAACTTGTAGTTGCATTTTTTGGCAAATGTCTGTGATTTCTTGGGTTTGGAAGGTTATTTGGCCACTGCACATGTTATTTTTAGAAGGTTTCTCTATAGTTTAATTAAGTGGGACGTTTTGCTCATTAAAAATGGGGGGTGGGGTGGGGGGGGAGGTTAATCCAATCTCAATTTGAAAGAAGTGTTGAAAAAAAGGTCTCATTAGTCAATTACAGTTGTGATTAAAAGGCCTTCCCTGCCCCCCCCCCATTAGCACAAGCACTGCTACCATCTGCATTTGAAATTATTTTGAATTAATTACTAAGTGAGAAAAGAGCCCCTGGGCTTGCCTTCATAATGTTTAGAAAGGACTGATTTGAAATGGGAAATGGGAGCATTTTGATGAGAAATCATTCAGATTGTTCCTCATAAAAGTTGCAAGCTGATCAGAATAGCACATATTTAAAACAATTAATGGGCAGGAATCCACTTATTGAAATGTGACCCTGGCAACACACAGAAACAATCAGGCTATTGCCCCCAGGGGAACAACAGCCTGTCCAAGTGGCATACTTATAAGGAGACACACACAGAAACACTTGTGACGTATTAGGTGACCTTCACTTGGAAACTCAGTTCACTCTTGGCCACTTGGAAACCAATTTAAACAAAACACCCTATCACTATGGAGCAAAATTAATAAAAGCATGACATCAGTCATTTCAAGACAAAATCATTCCGAGTGACCCAAAGAAAAGCACTGAGCCAACGTTTAATATTGTCTCTGACACTATGGGTCGAGTTAGACGGGGAATTTTTAAGAAGAAAAGAACTTGGTTCAAACAGAAGCATGAATTGACACCCAAAACTTTGCATTGTGCCAGTGAGGATGCAACTGAGACAGATAGGCCTCGGTATGTTCGACCAACGTTTGAGCAGCTTGAGCTAGCTGTTTGCAGAGACGAAAGAGGGTTTTTCTGCCAGGCGCTACCAACAGCAGAGGCCAAGTGTAGAAATGTGATGTTGCTCCGACCGAAAACTGCAGAAATTACTGCACTCGACCAGCTCCAGTCCAGGGATGGAACAAATCAATCGGGAGGATATCGCTTTGTGAGTTTACGCTCAGCACTGCAGTTGGGTGCACAGGCTACACTTGATCACCAAAGACTGCATCCCGGGTGTGACAGCCAACCAGAACTCATGCCAGAGGCAGAAGAATGCAGAGGCTTGGCTGTTTCGGAAGTGATGCACTGCAAAAAGTGCGGCTTCATGACACAGAGACAAAAACTGTACACCGACATACCTCAAAAGGGGCCTGGGCGACGCACTGCTACTCCAAACATGGCATTCCAGGTTGGACTCTACAATACCGGCATCGCAGCAGCAGGTGCAAGAAGGCTCCTGGCAGCTATGGACACGACTGTTCCTTCAGGTAGGGGACTGCAAAAGATTGCAGACAAATGCGGTGAAATTATAACTCAGGAGAACCTGCAAGACATGGCTGCAAAGAGGAGAACTGTGAAAGACATCCACGAGCTACAGGGATTCGAGAGGGAGAGTCCAGTTGCTGTTGAGATGGACAGACAGTATAACAACCCACTGAGAAATGCCCGGAAACAAACTCTCTTTGTACCAGCAACACAAACCAGAGACACGGTCTGTGAAAATGTCACCTCCTCGAAGTACGTGATCATGTATCATCACGAAAGCAAACTCTGCAAGAGTCGAGATATGCAGCGAGCAAAGGGGAAGAAAACAAAGTGCCCCGGACACAAAGGATGCACAGCTACACGCCGACCTGAATTTAACATGGGAGACGAGAAGGAAGGGGGACTGAGATGTGCTGCGAAAATGCTACAAAGTGAGGAGTCCCTGTTAGTGAGCAGCGTGACCACCGATGCAGACGGGCATTTGGCAGCTGGTTTAAAATCCCACATGAGGACCAGAACTGACACAGACCCTGTGGAGCAACTGGACTGTCCTCATTTGAATAGGTCTTTATGTTCTGCTGTCAGTAATGCCAATTTCAGTACAACTATGTTCCCCCAATGTGCATATAGAACTGAGAGACAAAGACAACAACTGAAAAATCGTTTTGGTGATGATGTAAGTCATCGGGCACAAGCTGAAGCCAGTGCAATCCTCCAAAAATGTAATGGAAATGTTGAGAAAATGAAAAAGTTTGCAGCTAAGGTTTCAAACGCTATCCCAAAATGCTATGCGGGGAATCATAGTCTGTGCCGAAAAGGTTCACAAATTTGTAAAGGCAATTATAAATTCCCTTACATGCCACGCTATGTAAGGGGAAAGCTTAAGCTGTCCAATGCCGACGAGTTCCTTCTCAAGAAACTTGTGGAAAAACGAATCGGGTACGAGGCTTTACAAAAAACAAGGTACGGTATGAGTACCCAAAAGAGTGAAGCCATGAATCATGCTTTTGGAATGACCAATCCTAAAGGTACTCTCACCTTTTCAAGGAACGCTGCAGCCAGAGATCACAGCTCAGTGCACCTTGTTAATAACAGGCATGCAAACTCCATCATAAAGAAATGCAAAGCAGCTGGATGTCCAATAAGCATTGGCTCCCCAGCAGCACATGCTCTCGCTGAAATGGACAGAAAGCAAAAATATCACAGAAAGCGTGCCAAGTCAAAAGGATATCAGAAGCGCAGGGCACAATGTCGAGGGGAGAGATACAATGCTTACTTTACTGCACAGGCCCTGTACAATCCAGGACAATTGAATCCCGGGCCAAACGACGAATCCAAACGCAAAGAAAATGAAAATGTCCG